AAAAAAAAAAGAAAGTAAGTTTATAATTAATAATAGTTATATTAATGAATTATAGTTTAGCATATTAAAAAAATATTAAATTTATAGAATATAAACATTTTGAACTATAGCTTAATAGTATTACAATAGAATCATTTAATTTTTTTTATTAAATGCTTAATGTCTAACACAAGGTTCTTAATCCACAATACCAAATTGTGAATCAAATATTGAAAAAAAGGAGATAACCTTAAAGTAAAAGGGTTAGTACTTGTCTGTTTTACCTCCAAAAAATTAAGAGAAAAAATGACAAAAATCACCTTAATGCATACTTTAAAAATATGGTAATTTAATCTTTTTCAATAAAAATTTATTGAAACGACGTAATTTTGGGATTATTTTTTTCTTAATAAATCACCTTAATGCATGCTTTAAAAATAAGATAATTTAGTTTTTTTCAATAAAAATTTATTGAAATGATGTAATTTTGGGATAATTTTCCTTCTAATATTTAAAATGTAAAGTTGATAAACACTATTTCCTAAAGTAAATCCCAAACATTTTAATTAAGATTTTAAAGTACAGATAAATAATAATTCTTTTATTATTAAAAACCAAATTAATAATATAATTATTTTTAATTATTTATTACCACATAATATTAAATAAACTAAAAAATTCTATACTAAAAATATTCCAGTATACTGCACAAAGCTTGGCTTAATTCTAGTTTTAAATAAAAAGTTTAATCACCTCAATAATTGCAAAATAATGGCTAACAATATGTGCATAATAGCTGATAAAAAAATAATATACAAAATCTTATCATATAATTAAATTTAACAATAATCACTTAATATCAAAAATCATTAACATATATAATTGCAAGATTATATTTTAAAATAAGATTAATGTGTATCACTTTTCTATTAATATTGATCTATCCTTCTAGTGGCAGTCACGGCCTCGCCAGCGTGCTAGTACAAAACAGGCTGAAAGGTCAGAGAAAGTGGCCTAGTGGAAATGGCTAGCTTCATGCTATGAATTTGATATATTCCACGTTTGCACTTCTAAGAGTTTCTATATAAGGTGAGAAAATTTCCTCATCTGGAACTCACAGAGAAGGCAAAAGGAGGTTAAAGATGGCCACCACCAGAAGGCAAAAGCACAACCTGTGCTCCACATGTCTCTTCCTGTTATTGCCATTACTCCTACAGTTCTATTCTGGTATTGCTTTCTTATATCTCTAATTTATTAAAAAAATATTTTACAATTTATATTATTGTAACATCTCAAATTTCATATTGATAAGAACTTGTAAATGAGTATGATAAATATAAATGTAAAAATCAACCACTACTAATAATTTAATTTTAAACTTTTAAAGATTTATAAATTTTAACTTGAAAAATTATTAAACTAATGATGGACTTTTATATAAGTTATTTAGTTGGTATCGAAACTACTACGTTTATGATAAATGATAGAATGGTAATAATATGTGCCTTACATCATTTGAGATGAATTCTATATTTATGGCCAATGACTCTGATTCTGATTTTGGTTTTGATCACATCAAGCATTTAAGCCGAATCCCACCTTATGGTACAGTGACGAGCTGGACCCCCTGATATTAATTTTTTTTAATTTTTTCTAATTACAATCTTAATAAGAGAGGGAATAAATAATGCAGGTCAAAGTGATCTTCAATTAAACTACTATGAACAAAGCTGTCCAAATGCTGAAGAGATCATCAAAAAAGAAGTCTTCAAATTTTACGATAAACAACCAAATACAGCTGTTTCGTGGGTTCGAAATCTCTTTCATGATTGCGGAGTTAAGGTATATCTGTATATGAGAATAATTCATTTCAATCCAAACTGACAAAAAAAAAAGTCAGTTTAATTAACCATTCCTCCTTTAATTAGTTGTCTAGATGGATATTTTTTTGCCAATTTAGATTGAAAAAATACTCTCCATGTATATTTTTATTTTTATTTTTATTTTTATTTTTTCGAAAAGCTATGTACATTTTTAATTTGTTGAGCATCATCATGTTTATACCATGATACACACTCGGGCTGCATTATATTAATTGTTTTTATGCAGTCCTGCGATGCATCCCTTTTGCTGGAAACAGCAAACGGAATTGAATCGGAGCAAGAATCTGGTAGGAGTTTTGGGATGAGAAATTTCGAGTATGTCAGAACCATCAAAGAGGCCCTGGAGAAAGAATGCCCCATGACGGTTTCTTGTGCTGATATTGTTGCTCTTTCTGCTAGAGACGGAATTGCCATGGTAATTCTTCATTAATTCCTCTCCTCCCTTATGAAACATATTAAATAAAAATATGTTGATTATAAAAAAAATAAAACGTAAACTTCCACAGCTCGGAGGACCACGCGTTGAAATGAAAACTGGCCGGAGAGATAGCCGGGAAAGTTACCTGACGGAGGTGGAAACCGCCATCCCTAATCACAATGAGTCAATGCCATCTGTACTTTCTACTTTTCAATCCATCGGCATCGATACTGAAGGAACTGTTGCACTGTTAGGTAAAATAGAAAATAATTTTTTAAATGAAAAAATAGTTTACAAGATAATTATATATAAAAAGTATAATTTATTATATAAATTTATTAAAATATTTTTAATTAAATTATTTTTTATATTATTTTATAAAAAATATTTT